GGCTACATGGGGTCAAGGAGAGTGAGGGGTCAAAGTTAATGCTGAAGTTTCAAGCCTGGGTGACTGACAAAATGACGGTGCTCTTGTCAGAAATAGGGCAATCTGGAAGGAGGAAACATGACCAGTTCAATTCTGGACATATCAGACATTAAACATTTATTAAGGATCAATTATGTGCCAGGCACTGTGCTGGGGATGCAAAGAAAGGCAAAAGACAGGCCCTGCCCTCAAAGAGCTCACGGACAAATGGGGGAAGACAACATGAAGGCAACTATGTACAAACGAGTTAGAGACTGGATAAACTGGAGAAAATCCACAGAGGGAAGCAATGAGTGTGAAGGGGGGATTGGGAAAAGCTTCCTGCAGGAGATGGGACTTTGGAGGAGACTTGGAGGAGCCCAGACGGGGTGGAGGAGAGGAGGAAGAGTATTCCATGGGAGCCAGTCAGAGAGATGGGGCAGCCCTTGTGAGGAAGAGCCAGGAGGTACGTTGAGTGCCTACGGGACATCCAGTCGGGCATATCCACCAGGCAGTTGGTGATGTGTGACGGCTGCCGAGGAGACAGACTAAGGCTGGGTTCAGAGGCTATCTGCACAGAGATGATAACGAGGCCTCTGGGGGGCCGACGGAGTCACCAGGAGAGAGCATGGAGAGAGACTGTAAAAGAACACAGGATTGCAAACTGCATGGAAGGGAGAGCAAGTGTCAGCAAGGGGTATTCACAACTTCCTCTAGGAACCTGATTTTGAAAGGAGACGGAGTCGGACAACTTGAGGGGAAAGCAGTCGATTGATCTCTTGTTTGTCCAAGAAGGGGGAGTTTTGGGCAAGTCTGTGGCTGGGGTTAAGGAGATATCAGAAATTACAGATGAGAAGATAATTGCTGGGGGAGGGAGCAATCTTCTGGAAGAGAGAGGAGGAAATGGGATCAAGGGCACCCAGGGAGGAACTGGTCTTGGTGAGAAGGGTCTCATCAGAACGAGGAAAGAAGAGAGTGAAAGATGACTCAAGAAATTTTAAGAAGTAGAGAAGGGGACAAGCAGCTTATGGCAAATGGAGATAGTGAGGCCCTCAACAGGGAGGGACTGGGGAAGGATGGTGTGGGAAGTTTGGGAAGAAAAGAAAGTTTAGAATAGCCTGGGGTAGGTAATCGGGGGAAAGTGCTCTGCTGATTAGAAAAGATAAATCTGTAGTGAATTCAGTTTAGTTCTGTGATTTCCTCCAGCTCCGTTTAGGGGGCATAGAGTGTGAATGGTCTAGGAGAGGACTTGACAAGGTCTGAGTATCGACAGGGTGGGGAGCAAGGGCTCGAGAGCAGATGACAGCACAGAGCTGAGTGTTTGTTAACTAGAAGATCGAGAACGGGAAGCATGGGTCTGCTTTAGTCTGGAAGCATGCTGAGGGACAGAGGGAGTAGTGGTCCCAGGGAAAACAAAAAAGTTAGGAAAGGTAAGGAAAAGGGAGAGATGGAGTGACAGGAGGTTCTGATCTGATAAAGGGATCTCCAAGTTTTGATCAATGAATAATAATAATAATAATGATTAAAATAATTTGATTTGCTAGATCCAAAGGTGTGTGCATGCCCTTACACATGAGCATGTGTGAAGTTCTTTGAAGTCCTCAATAAATGCTGTTAGGATTTGAAGGCAAGTTGTCTTATTAATTTTGATATCCAAAAGCTACAAGAATCAATCAACTGAGAAGTAACAAGCTTCACACCGGAAGTAGAAGAATATAGGTAGCAGCATTAAGATACGTTCTGCAATATCAGACATGGTCTTTACCATTCACCTGGCATGTATCCTGAGCTATCTTGCACTATCATACAATTTTCAATATCAATGTCTTTTCTTCCCAATTAAACTAAGTGCCTCAAGGTCACGTAAGGACCTCCAACACATGCTCACAGTGGTTAGTCAGCACACAATGCTGGTGAAACTTGAAGAGGCAGCATGGTGAATACAGCAACGGACCTGGGAGGGAGATGATAAACCCTGCCTTGAGAAACTAAAATGACTAACAGCGTACGGTAGGGGCAAAATAAGTGAAAACTCTACTGCTCCAGCTGAGGAAAGCAGGGACAGTAATGTACTGCTGGCAGATCGGCCAAGTGGTCCAGCCAGTTTGGAAAGCAATCTGGAACTGAGCCCGAACACGAAACTCTGCTCATCCTCTGAGCCAGCAATGCCCTACTAGACCGACATCCTAAAGAGGTCAAGTAAAGAGGAAAAGAAGCCATATGCACAAGAATATTTAAAGCAGCTCTTTCTGTGGTGGCAAGAACAGGAAACTAAGAGAGTGTTCATATACTGCAGAACGGCTAAAGGAGAAATGACAAGATGGATGTTTCCAGAGAAATCAGGGAAGACTTAAACTGATGGAGAGTCCAGCAGAACCAGAACAATTTGCAGAATAACAATATTATTTAAAAAAAAAAAACTCTGAAAAAATTTAAAAACTCTGACCAACCACGATGACAAAGGATCAAAGACAAAATGTGCCACAGAGAGGTGATGGATGCAGAGTACAGACTGAGATGTATCTTTTTTTTTTTTTTTTAAACATGGCATATGTAGGAGTTTTCTTTGCTAAAGTAGACATATTTGCTATGAGGCTTTTTCCTTTGATTTTTTTTTTTTAATTAAGAAGAAGGGGAGGTAAAAGGGAGAAAAAAAGTTCATTAATTGAAAACAAAATAAAATGGCTGTAATAATACCTTTGAAAACAACTCATCACCTACACTAAGGAAGGCATGAATTAGTTACATCCTTCATATGAGACTGTAAATTGACTCACTACACAAAAGTCACTTCTCTCCACTCTAAGAACTCAGACTATCGTGTAACTGTTATAGCTTCAAATTGCACTAAGACCTTTTGGACACCCTGATATATTATTTGAAGTTGGAAATTTTATTTAGAGGGAAAAAAATCAGACCCTTAGGTTTATAAACTAGATGAAGTGATACATTTCATACCAGGTTTATAAAATTTATATTGAGTAATTCTGTGCATTCTGAGCAAAAAGGGACTTCAAAGGCTTTTTCTGAGTACAAGTGATTTGGATTCTATCCTGGCAGGAAGCTGGCTGATCTCTCACAGCTCTGCCTCCAAATCAGGTTCTGACAGGGGCTCACACTGAGTTTGATTCTAGCAGCTTACTGGGACGCTCTGCTCCAAACGGATTTGCTAAACTTTGTGGTGAGTGATTTTTTCCTAGGTGGAGATCAGTGTCATAGTAGAAGCTAAACAAAATTGGTTAAACTTTTATGATTTTGTTGCTATTTTCTGTGCTTGTCACATTGAGTTCCCACTCATTCTGCTAAGTGGCATGTTTACAAGAGTTGAAAGCCTGCTTATTTATGATTTGGAAGGCAGGACTCTTTAACGGATGGAAGAACTGAGGCAAAGAGGCTATGTGACCTCACACCGAAAGAGACCTAGAAGTAGAACTCAATAGTTTCTTGGCTGGTCTGCTTATCTCTAATATTCCCCAGCTCAGAACCCCCTGTAGGTGCCCTCCTACTAAGCAGCACAAGTGGCATCTTTCCACTTGGCATTTAAGGCCAGGCTATTGCCTAATTCCTCATTACAGTGTGCTCTGCGCATCTTCAGCTGTAAACTGACACATTTTTAGGCTCTTTCCAGCGCCTTCCACCCCAGCCAGGCTCCTTTCCAAATGAAGACGGGCTCCACTTGATGCCTTCTAGCTTGACATCGATGATCCTATGGAATGCCAACTCCTTGAGAGGAGGAGTCTCTTTAATGGTATCCCAGTACCTAACGTAGGGTTTGGCACACAGCAGGCACTTAATAAATGCTGGCCCATTTCAGTGGCTGGCTGGGCCTCTGCTCATACCACTTCCATCTAGAATGGCTTCTCATTTCCTCTTCTTCGATGAAATCCACTTTAAGACCTACCTTCTCTAGAAGGGTTTTTCTGACTGACCTGACCCCTGCTGAGCCCTATGGTTGCAGTTTGGACACTATTATACAACTACTTTCATTTATTTATTTAGTTTATTTAAAACTAGCCGTTTTAAGTACTCAGTCTGGCACAGTGAAGAGAGATCATGCTGGATTTGAAATTAAGAAAACCTGGGTTCAAATCCTATTTCCAGCTAGCTGCGTGATGAAGGATAAGTCACTTAACCCCTCTGAGCCTCAGTTTCCTCACCTGTAAAGTGGGTATAATATCCGTAGGCCTCCCATCTCTGGCTTACTGTAAAATTCAAATGAACTGATATATGTAAAGTGCAGATTCTATATAAATGGAAAGTTGTTGGTTTTTGTTCTTTTTTTTTGGTGTGCTGGACCTGTGATTTCATCACTCCCTCTACCAGTGCAGGACAGTACTTTTGCGGCCTGAGGCTCTGAGGGGTTAAGTGATGTAGCTGCAGTTCCGGGGCCAGGAGGAGGCAGCGGATTCTCTGCTCCTGTTTCCTAGTCCAGTAGGGTAATGTGCTCAGTAAGCACCTGGTGGATGACGTCAGGTGGAATCTCTTGTACACTGGGCAGGCCTCTTTTTGCTCCAGTCCTTTTAAAAGAAGCACGTCTCTCCCGAGCAGAATTTTGCCAGCTCTTTCAACTTAAAGCTATAGAACAGCAATTACCAGAAGAGAAAGTGCTACGATGCACTTTTAGGAACCATGTGGAAGATGACCCTTGGAGGAACTCTCTTCCAGTGTTCACTATGCTGCGTGGCCAGACAAGGATGTCCACTGCCTATGACCTCACGGCAAACTTCAAGCACCGCTCGAGGCTGTGCAGATTGGTGTTTAGGAAACTACTTTAGCAAAACAGTTTTTAGACATGTTAAAAATGAACAGAACTTTCTAAGTACTTTGTAGTTCAGGTGAAAGCAAAGCAAAACAGACCACACTGACTCTTTAAACTACTGACCTATATCATATATCTGTGAACCTGGAAAACAACTAACTGGGGCAGAAGGACCAAATGGAGAAAGGGGGAGGTGAGAGGGTTTAAAATCTAGATTTCTTACTATTATTGGTGCTATTGCCATTGAAGGACCCCGATGAACTGCTGCTGTCTTTTTCCTTATCTTGATTCTCAAAGTCCATGTTGAGGGACCTGTAGAAAACAAACAAACAAAAAAATACACTCCATTTTAACAATGAGTTTAAATAATTCTATACTCCTGCATCATGAAAGAAGATCAGGAATCTCCATTGCGATTCAATCAGACAGAACGTTAAGGGAGCAGCAGAAAGGTCTCTTTTCTTTACTTTTCTTTTCTTTTCTTTTGGGGAGGCAATTGGGGTTGAGTGACTTGCCTTGAGTCACACAACTAGTAAGTGTCATGTGTCTGAGGCCAGATTTGAACTCAGGTCCTCCTGACTTCAGGGCTGGTGCTCTATCCACTGAGCCACCTAACTGCCCCAGGAAGGTCTCTTTTCAGCAATTTGGCCGAGCCCTTCTTGTGACAATGCCTCTTCTGGAGAGCGAGCTTGAGGATAGGCAGCTGGGATTAGGATTCCACACTTCACTGCTATGGTTCCGGTCTCCTATCCCTCTGCTGCCCATCCCCAGTGTCAGGAGTCGCTAAGCCCCGCCTATCACACACTGGCCCCACTGCAGCCCTTTCCAACTTTGGATCCGTTTTCCCATGCGCTCGACTCTAGCTGCTTGAGGCAGGAGACTTGGAAGACTTCCTGCTCCCCACAGTCACTTCCAGGCTGTCCCACTACCACTTAAACCTTTTGGTAACCTTTCCTCCTTGGAGGAATCGAGATTCTGGGGGTGGGGGTCTACTGACCCCTAAGACACTCTCCTTCCCACCTCGGTCCCTCCTCCCCAACGCTTCTCATACATGTTACCATTCCTTGAAACACTTCTTCAACCTTCTCATTCCCCCACCACTCTCTCCTCCACCCTACCACAGCCACACGCAGAGGTGCGCACACAGGCTTTGTTTTGTCATCCATCACCCACAACTGTTCACATCTGTTTCCATGAGCTCAGAAATTCCTTTATTTGAGATCAATCTCCCCAGAGCTTTGGCCTCTGGATGGAGTCCACACAGGGTCTTAAGCAGCTCAGGCTAGGGGCCCAGTGGGAGATGATGGAATGGAATACACTAAGTGATAGAACACAAATATACAATTAATGATATCAGATTAGAATGAGTTTCAGACTGGACTCAGGTGACCTGAATACTCATTCCCTCTAAATAAGAAAGTTGGGCTAGATGTATAACGAATATGATACTTGAGCAGCATCTTAAAGGAAGAGAGGGATTCTCTGAGGCAGAGGAGCAGAGGGAATGTAGTGCACGTATGGGTGATGGTCAGTGCAAAGGCATGGAGACAAGAAGGCCAATTTGGCTCAATCACAGAGTTTGGGCTGGGTTGTAATGTCCTACCATGTTGGAGAGATAGATGGTGGAATGGTTCTGAGGACTGACAACGAACTATGTCACCTCCTGTATCATTCTGCATCTTGACTCCATCACCTCTCAGTCCTCAGAATCATGGCTGGTCGTAACATTGGTGACTCAGAGTTCTGAACTCTAGGAAAGCTTTTTTGTCTCTATAATGATGTTGTTATCGTATACGTTGTTCTCCTGGCTCTGCTCATTTTGTTCTAGATCCATTCATTCAGATCTTTCCATGTTTCCCTGAAACCATTTCGTTTATCATCTCTTATGACAAAATAGTATTCTGTTACCTCCATACACCAAGATTTGTTCGGCCATTCTCCAACTGAGGATTACCCTTCCTCAGTTTCCAGTTCTTTGCTACTACAAAAAAAGCTGTTATAAATATTTTTGTATGTATGTCTCCTTTGACCTCTTCGGCATGTGAATCAATTCATAGCTCTACTAACGGTGCATTTATATGGCAGACATTTATTTTTAATAATGAGGTGAACAGAGAGCTGCTACAGCTCATGGTGGGGGTCAGTATTAACAGAGGGGTGAGAGAAATAGAGCAGACACACATGGTGGTCATCGGAATGGTCGTCTGGAGGATGGACTGGGGTAGGGAGACCAACCAGTACGTTACAGCAATAGTAGAGGAGAGAGATGATGAGGTCTGATCCAGGGTTGCAGCTGACTTTCTTAAGAGAAGGGACATATATGAAGAGAAAGGGACATACATGAAAGATGTTGGAAGGAAAAACACGAGGTGAGTGAGAGTGAGTAGTCAGGAATGACACAGGAATTATAAACCCTGGGGTCTGGGAGGAAGGGGTGGAGGTACTCTAAACAACAACAGGGATGTGAGGAAGAGGGGAGGGTTTGGGGAGAAAGAGAAGGAGCTTTATTTTAGACATGTGTTCGAGATGCCCACAGGATATCCAGTCCTAGATATCTAAGAGGTAGTTGGAGATGCAATTCTGTAACTCAGCAGAAAGCCAAGGGATGGATATATAGGTCTGGAAATCATCTGCACAGAGATAGTAACTAAATCCATGGAAGGTGATGACCAAGTGAGAAAGTACAGAATAAGAAGAAAACCAGGCCCAGTACAAAGCCTTGGGGGATACTCGAAGTTAGTGTGTGGCATGGAGGTTGAACAGGGAGGAAGTGTACCAGGAGACAGTCATGTCACAAAACTCTGGACAAGATGATGAGCAGCGTCATGTGTGTCACAGGGGTCCAGGAGGGTCAGGCCTGAGAAAAGGCCACTCTATTTGGCAATGAAGAGATCATGGCTAGCTCTGGGAGGGCAGTTTCAGTGGAATGATGAGGTCAGAAAGCAGACTGCAGGAGGGTGGTGGCACCTCCTCTCTCCTCTTCAAATTAGTTCTGGCTGCAGAGGAGCCTCTGCCATCATCATCGCCACCTCCAGAATATCTGGCTCCTTTCTCTCCATCTTAAATTTGAGTGTCTTTATGATTAATCAAAAGCAGCAAAAGCCAACACTGCTATCAGGCCAGAATTTCAGAACTAGAGAAAGGCGCAGCTAGATGGCTCAGTGGATAGAGTACCAGCACTAGAGTCAGGAGGACCTGAGTTCAAATCCGGCCTCAGACACTTGACACTTACTAGCTGTGTGACCCTGGGCAAAGTCACTTAACCCCATTGCCTAGCAAAAGAACAACAAAGAAGAGAGGGAGAGGGAGAGAGAGAGAGAGAGGTTTGACCCCACTCAGTTTCTCAGCTGTATTGTTCAAGGTTTAACTGAAACTGGCTCTTAGAAGCAGCAGCAAAACTTCTTGATGCTGCTGGGGTACAACGTGATTATCACTGATCTGTAGAAAGCCTCTGTGACATTCTAGGGGATGGTGCTGTGCTGGCCCTTGGTGGTACAGACCTACAGATGACATGATGCATGCATATGTCTGTGCATTTATAGCACAAGACCCAGAGACCAGGCAAGCCTTCCTTTGCTCGGGTGTCAATATGTCAATCAGGTGCAGCAAATACCTCGAGAAGGGATTTAAGGATGAAGATGCAAAGCTGCTGCTGATCTTAAAGGGTTTTTCAGAGTCTGAGAGGAACAAACTGGTCGCGTTCCTTGGGCCAGCAGGACCCTAATGCATCCATTCTTAACAACCTTTATAATGAGCATTTGGTTAAAGACCGAGTCTCAGCAGTCTTTGCTGTAATGCTGTTTAAATCATGGATAAATGAAAATGATATCAACGAAGTAGCTACCAATCTTTGAAAACGCAGAGTGGACAACAGACCGATGGAACTTCTTCCTTCTGAGAAGCAGTGTCAAGCACTTCACAAAATTGTTTATCATAGCAGGTCTAAAAGAACTCTCCAAGTATGTGTAGAACCAGTAAACCACAGAAGCTACAGAGAGAACTTCAAGAACAAATGTCCTGTGGCGATCCATTTCAGGATATAATTCTGTACGTCGAGGAGAGGGAGAACAGATCATCAGAGGCATAGTCTGGTCAAGTGTAACGAACGCAAAGGAGGGGCTGGATCTGAAACAGGGGCCTCCACCAGCTGTCTTTCCTACTCCAGGTCAGTCTGTTCCAGAAGGTTCTGGAGCACCATTAGCACAACCTTCACTTCACGAAAGCCTTCCAGAAAATCTTGGCACTTTTTCAGAAGGCTGAAGTCCTGAGTGAAGAGCTCATTTTAAAGTGGTGTAAAGATGCACATGTTGCAAATGGGGAAAAGTGTCTTTCTTGAGTAAATGAAAAAAATTGTAGTGGCCCAAGAATGCAGAAGAAGAACCTAAGCCTGAAGTCGAAGGAGGCTACTAAATTGTGAATCTATAAGCTCAATAAAGCAAGAAGCAATCACAGATAAAATGCAAGAATATCCTCCTAACTCTCTGTATCAAGCACGACACAAGAGTTTTCATGGCAAATTTATCCGAACTGTTTTCTAAGGTGACTGACAAATGCTGGGTTTAGAGGCTACAGATTTGAATCTAATATTGCATTAGTTTTCTACCTCCTGGATCTTCTACTGCAATAATGTAATTTAAGGCTTTCCACAATGAACACTTCTTTTTATCCCTGGGTTTTCTATGTACAGTTTACAAGATGTGATTTGGTTAAAACAATTTGTTATGGAAATTCTGTTTGCAAATTAAACTGTACAAGTATCCAAAGTCCACTGCACCCAGTCCCACCCCCCCACCCCCCGCCCCTCCAGCAGATTGCAAAGGATTCTGAAGAGAGGAGAGAGGAAGCAGACACATCAGATTTAAAAGGCTTTTTCAAGGAGTCGCACTGAGAAGGGGAAGAGTGAACAGGATGGAGGGAAACACGGGCAGGCTCTCAAGCAGTAAGGAAGGAGCCAGCAGACAGGGTAAGGCTGAAGAGAGCAGGGCTGATAATGAGTGTTCCGCTGGAGAAGGCAGGAGGCCTTAGAGGGGCTGGCCTTGGCCAAGAGAAGGGCCCCCTCTTTATCCAAGGCCACAGTGGAGGAGGAGAGAGGAGGATAAGATGTCTCAGTGATGCAAGACCAGGAGGAGGGAAAAGGGGGGAAGATCTTGGCAAACAGCCTCAAGTTTCAAGTATGAGATGAGGATGATATAGCCAGAGTGTGTCTGAGGGTGAATTTGAACCCAAGGCCTCCTGAGTCTGCGCCTGGTGCTAGCCACTGTACTATGTTCCCTCTCACTAATAAAATAAAATTTTAAAAAGATAATTTCACC